TTCCACTAAAAGCAAAGGAGTCAAATGAAATGTGATGGTCACCCTGATTATTCCTTCCCTTTCAAAACTAGAGTAACAAGGAAGAAATGAGCCTCTGAACCTAATCCTGACTAATCAGAAGACCTGAAGGAGATCAGAACTATGGGATCACTTGGGGTCAGCACAGGGAAAGAGAAACAAGCAGGTCACGCCAGAGTACCTACATTCCCTTACTGGAAGTCAAGTACATCTGTACATCAAAGATACCGTACTCCTGTGCATCTCACGTTGCCCCAGCAAGGCGCCATTCTCTCTGACACCAGTGGTCAGCAATAGGACATCAGTATACCCTCAAAACTAATAAAGCTGCTTGTCTGTGTCCTTTTCCTCATTGCTGGAACTCAATGCGTGACACTTGACAAAATAAGGAGAGGTTTGTTTTGGTTCATGCTTTTAGAGGCTTTGTGTTTGGTGGGCTTAAATACAGAAACTCTCTGATGGAAGGCTGGGGGGGAACGGGGGGGGGAAGGCTGCTCAAGGCATGGAGGAGGCCCGGGAATGAAGGGAGGAAGGCAGTCACTGGACAGGGAGCCACACGGTACCTCTGCAGGTCACTGGCTCAGGGACTGTTCTCCCCGCCTCCTGACAGCAAGTCAGACCCCATAATTCAATCCCCTTCCATCAGCCCCGACACTAAACTCATGAGACTTTGGAGAGGACATCCAGATATAAACCACAGTATTATTTTAAAAAGGGAGGAGAAGCTAAATAAATATATCAAAATACTGCCAAATTCAAGGGATGTTGATTAGTGCTAACATCTAGGTTCTACCCTGTTTTATTGATTCAGTCCATTAATTCTTTCAGTGCGTCCCATCCCAAAGGCCACTCACGTGTAAACTTCTGGGGTCCTTCTCCTGCACCACTAGAACAAACAGAAACTCCCAGAATTGGCCCCTTCTCTGCTCAAGACCCACACAGAGACGTAAAAAGAATGAAAATGTGTGTTGTGCAGGTACCAATTCCCACAATGAATGGAATCATTATGTACTACAAATATGTACTAATAATTGTTTTTTTTAAATTTTAAAAGCTGCCAGGTATGGTGGTGCACGACCTGTGATCCCAGCATCCAGGAAGCTGAGGCAGCACTGCTGTGAGCTGGAGGACAGCCTGGGCTACATAATGAGACTCCATCTCACAAGTTTTTTTTTAAACCAGACAAATTTTCCTTGACTCCCATCTACCAAAGAACTACTCTTCACCCTTTTCCTCCCAATAATTATTCTATTTAGTCCCTTTATTTTATTACTGAGTGGTTCATTCACTAGAATGTGAACTCTGAGAAGACAGGAAACATGCTCCTTTATCCATAAATACATTACCTAGGCTCTAGATACTGCACATAATAGGTGCTCAATTAACTGAATTAATGAATAAATTATGTGATGCATCCAACAGAATAATGGTCAAATTGCCAATGATAGTGTAGCAAATGGATTCAGATTAATACAATCTGCACAACTCTTTGGTTCTTGGAAGCCACCAAAAATCTCAGGTCAGGAGAGGGATAGCAACTAGTCTTGAATTTTATGTGAAATGAAAGTATAAAATATATACTCTTTTTTTCCTTCAAAAAGTCATTTTGAGATCCACTGATGGTAGAATGTATCACTACTTCATTATTTTTATTGCTGAGCAGTATTCTGCTATGGATACACAACAATTTATTCATAAACACACTAGATAAACATCTGGCTCTTTTCTGTTTTACTATTACAATAAAGCAGACTTGACAGTGGAAGTCTGGGTCACATAGTAGGTATATACTTAACTTTATAAGAGAATGCTGATTTTTTAAAGAGTATACAAGTCAGATGCCGTGACTTACATCTAGAATGCCAGCTACTCGAGATGCTAAGGCAGCAAGATTGTCAGTTTAAGGACAGCCTAGGTGACTTAGCAAGACTCCATCTCAAAATAAAAAGAGACAGGGAACTGTCCAGTAGTAGGGTGCTTGGCTGTCACATTGAGACCCTGGGCTCAATTCTCAGCAAAGCCAAAAAATAAAATGTTTTTGAAAAGCAGTTATATATATGATTTTGTACTCCCACCAGCAATATAAAGAGTTTCAGTTTCTGTACCTTCTGAAAACACTGGATATTGTCAGTTTTTAAAATTTAAGCCACCCTAAAAGCACAAAGAAATACTTCATTGTGGATTTAATGTACATTTCCCTGCTACTTAATGATCTTTTTTTTTTTTTTTTTTTTTTTTCGGTACGGGGGATTGAACTCACGACTGCCTGCTTGCAAGGCAGGTGCTTATGCCGCTGAGCTAAATTCCCAGCCCTGCTTAATGATCTTGAGCAACTTTTTAAATAAGGCACTTATTTGCCACTCATATAGCTATTTGGGGCAACATTTTACTTAACTTTTTTTTTTTTATCGGTACCGGGGATCAAACTCATGACAGCCTGCTTGCAAGGCAGGTGCTTATGCCACTGAGCTAAATCTCCAGCCCCCTTGGACAACATTTTAAAACATTTGCTTCAATAAAGAAGGAGGCTCTGGCTCACATAACCAGACAAACAATACAGAAAGGTATGAAGGAGAGTTCATAGTCCACCCCACTAATCCCCACCCCAACACACATGTAATCAGAGGTACGTAAGAGTCACGAAGAGCACCACTTACTAAGGTGCAAATTACTGGCCCCACTCCTGAAGATTCTGATTCAGTGCTTTTTGGTGGGGCATTTTAACACATCTCCAGGGGAGTCCAATGCAAGAGTACTAGAAATAATTTCTTGAGAAATTCTGCCCTTAATCATATCCTATAAGGAATAGAAGAGGGACTGTGGTTTCAAATAAGGTACCTGAAATAGGGTGATGGCCTTATACTGACCTATAGAGCACCTAAGGTCAAGGGAGCACAAAATTCTATGTTTGTTTGTTTGTTCGTTTGTTGGGGGGCAGGGTCTCACTTTGTAGTGCAGACTAGCCTTGAACTCACTCTGTAGCCCAGGCTGACCTTGAACTCACAGCAGTCTTCTTGCCTCAGCCTCCTGAGTGTTGGGATTACAGGCACGCACCACCACACCCAGCCAAACATTCTAATTTTTAAGAAATTACTGTGAAACAAAATCAGATCACAGAGCCAGGAAGAGAAAAACATGCCAAAGTCACCATGCTGACAAGAAAGGATTCTTTTGGATTAAGAAATGACAGTTTGGAAGGGAGGAGGGTGGGCAAGATATCTCTCTCTCTCTCTCTCTCTCTCTCTCTCTCTCTCTCTCTCTCACACACACACACACACACACACACATCCTGTCTCTCCATGAGCAACATCTTCCTTCATAAAAATGGGGAGAGAAATGTAATCCCCCAAACAGGTGGCAATATCTTTGCCCAAATTAAGCAGTAACTATTTGCCCTTAGTCGTATTTCCCTGGCTCTTTTGAAAAGCCTAAAAAGGTAGAGAAAGGAGACAACACAGTGTTTTTTAAGAGCAATTCTTTTTATAAATGGGTCTACCCAGGCCCTGTCCTCACAATTTAGATCCACAGATTTAAAGTTGCTAAGCCTGACAATAAACAAGCAATGTTCTTTGGACAATAAGCTCAACAAATGCCATTCTGCTTCTGTGACAGCCCCCAAGGCTCACCCCTCCTCATTAGTTAAATAAAAAGCCATTGATTTGATCTACAGCAGAATCAGCCAAGACAGTGCTTGCCACAGTCAGCTGCTGATTCAAGTGGGATGAAAGCCAGCTGTTGGCAAGGCCTGCATGGCCGCAGAGACTCTGCCAGCCTCCATTACTGCGCAGACTGGGTGCTGCTTGTGTCCGATTTGCACCCTCTTTCCTCCCTTTCCAAGCAAAACATATTGTGCAGGCTCGATGTAAAGGGGCAGGGGAGCCAGGCCCACCTGCAGTCTCAGCTACTGGAGAGGCAGAGGTGGGAGGCTCACGGAACCACAGAGCTGGAGCTGAGGCTGGGGATCACAGAGACAGACTCACGCTCTCTATCTCTGTCTGTTTCTCTGTCTCTCTCTGTCTCTGTCTCTGTCTCTGTCTCTGTCTCTCTCTGTCTCTCTGTGTCTCTCTCTGTCTCTCTCTCTCTCTCTCTCTCTCTCTCTCTCTCTCTCTCTCTCTCTCTCTTTCTCCCTCCCTCACATGCCCGTGCACACACACAGCAAGTAAAAACAGTAGACAGCTCTTAGAGTATTTTGCATTTGACCTTGGGTCAGACACTAAGCAGTACAATCCTTCACACACCTTTACGTAGGATCTTTTCACTAGGATACAGCTGCATAGTAAATAGGGTCGCAGTCCTGGGAGGGCTGGCTCTCTATTTTTAAATTTTCATTATATCTTATCTTGCATCCTGTCCAATTTCTTTCCTTTCCTAACTGGCACAGCTGTGTGTCTCGGCTTTTCCAGCGAGCACCCAGGTGACTACATGCCTGGCACGGCACTGGCCTTCATTGTGAAGTCCACAAGAACCAGGAGGACAAAGCAAACAATCTCATCTCAGTTTTTAATTAAACCTGGGCCCCGAGAAAGCTCGAGCGCGTGTTCCAGCTCGCAGAGGTAGCTCTGTCAGTGCGCCCCTCCTGCTCGGAGACGCGGCGGGGCGGAGTGCCGGATGGGATCCCTCCTGCGGGAGCCGCACCTGCTAGTCCCGCGGCGGTGGCGGGCAGAAGGCCCGGGCTAGGGCCTCGCGGGCGGCTGGGGTCCGCTCCCCTCTTGCTTTCCGACAGGGGCCGCACGTCCTGGGTTCTGGACCCACTTGGGGCACTACTTTTCTGAGGGGCCCCATGCAGCCGCAGAGCTCTGTTCTCTCCTCCCTCGGCCTCGACTGCCTAGTCCTAATTACGGTTTCTCGGCGAGGATTCTGATCACTGCATTTTTCCATTGTTCCAACGTATGACTTCTCCCTAAAAGCCACCCTGCATCCTACACCGTAGCAGACAGCGAAAAAGACGCAAGGAATCGTTACGTGGTTCTGGCCCAGCTCACCTCCCCGGGCCTCGGTTTCCCACCTGAACACAGGCTCGGATCTGCACGATCAGGCGGCTGGCGCCGCTGTCAGACTCAGGACGCAGCGCTGGAAGTGGAGTGGGGAGCGGGGCGGGAAGCCGGGTGCGGGTCCGGGGCCCGGGAGCCGAGCGCCCCCTGCCTTTGCGCCCCCAGCGCCGTCCAGATCCGCGCCCCGCGAGCTCGGCCGCCAGGGGGCTCCTCCGGGCGCTGCGTGCGCGCGCGGTGAGGACGGCCGGCCTCCCGCCTTTGTTAATTCTGTGTCGGGAGCCGGCTTGTTTTCTGCTGCCGGCTCCTAGAGGCGCCCGGCGTCCCGCGCCGTGCACTGCGGGCGGGGTTTAAAGCCGCGCCCCGGACTCTCCACCCCGAAAACCGGGGCCAGCGCTGGGGCCACCTGGCGGGGACGCTGGTCCTAGCGTCCCTGGATTTCTGTGCGTCTGTCCAGATCGTGGAGCTTTAGGGTGGGGCCTGGCTTTAGTCCCGGCTGCGACCCCCGCCGCTCCCCGATCCCGGGTTTTTCGCCTCGCTTTTCCTGCACAGCTTGCCACAGTCTGCCTTCCCCTCTCTTGGCACACAGGCGGGAATTCCCTGCTGTCCGGTGCGCGCGAGACTGGAGACCCTGTAGTTAACTGAGCAGGCCAGGTGTGGGCTTGGCTGGAGGCAGGGTAGGGAGAGTCACTCGCTGCATTCAGCGTGTAAGGAGGGATGTTCGCAACCGAGCATCCAAAGGCCATCAGTTGCCTGGAAACAGTGTGGCCTTCTGTCCTAGACTTTGGACACACACTTGAAAGTGATAACTGCTGTAAATGTATCAGGGCAAACAGGTGTACTCTTTTTGTTTTATTGCTTGTTTTGTTTTGTTTTGTTTTTTGTTTTTTGATAGGGTCTCACTCTGCACCCAAAGTTTCAGTGGCAACACACATGTCAATTTTAGAAGAGGCGTTGTTTTCTTAATCCTTTAGGAGAGCTCCTTATTCGGTTTTAACTGGAAATCTCTTAAAAAGGAATGCAGTTGCCTTATGGGGTTGATTTCCAGAACAATTCCAAAGAAATGGACATCAGCTTGCCTCAGTGACACAAACCTAAAGATAAGAGTTTTCCTTACCTTCCTCCATCAACAGTAATCAATTTTTAAATTCTGGCTATTTTTTTTTTTTTTTTTTGAAAAGAACGGTTGGAACTTCAGAGGTGTATACTGTGAGAGTCAAGGCTCATTGATCTTGGCATTCCTCTCCGTGCCTGACCTATTGCCTTGTATGCAGTGTTTATTGAGTGGGTGGATGCAGAAAGGGAGTTAAATTGTGAGAGGCGGAGAAAGAGGTAGTTTGGGATGGGGCAGCAGACCCTGGAGAATTGAGAAACAACAAATCCTTTTCCTGGTGTTTCTTCTTTCGCCTAAAGTTCACAGGACTTGCAGAGTCCAGGTGGAATTTCCAAACCAGCTGCTCCCCCGCCCCCCGCCCCCCGGTACTGGGGATCGAACTGAGGACTGCATGCTTACAAGGCAGGAACTTATGCTGCTGAGCTAAATGCCCAGTCCCAACCAGCTGCTGATTTAACTGTGACTCCTCAGAGATCTTTAGTCCAAGCAGGGAGCTCAGACTTTTGTGGGTTAATTGTTCCCTAAAAATTATGCACCAGCTCGTCTTCGGTTGTAAGCAACAAAGATTAATTCTGGTGGTTAACTGAAACAGAAAGGAATCCATTTAAAGAGGAGGGGGAGCTTAAAGAATCAGGGGCTGGGGATTTAGCTCAGTGGCATAAGCACCTGCCTTGCTAGCAGGCGGTCGTGAGTTCGATCCCCGGTACCGATAAAACGGAAAAAGACAAAAAAAAAAAAAAAAAAAAAAAAAAAAAAAAAAAAAAAATCAATAGAAAGGTTGGGGAGCTAGGCTAAGGGTGTATGTTGACACTGAAGGAGGCCAGATATCAGATTTATGGAAGAAAGCAGACCACAGGAAGGATTCTTCTCGACACCAGCAGTGCTGCTTGCCCTGCCATGGGACTCTGGCCCTGAAAGTGGAGTGCCATAGCTGACCCCATTGTCACACTACATCAAATACTGAATGTGGTTCACTAAAATTGATTAGTTTTACATGTTGCCTGCTTCTCTTCACACCTCTCACCATGATCACAACCTACGATGCAGTGGCTGATCAGCCATGCTGGGGTCCCAAGCAGTCAGCAGTCAGGAAGAACTGACTCCAGGGCGTTTGGGCTTTCACCAATGAGATTCAGAGGCTGTTTCCCTTGATAGCTTATTTCCCAGATGTACAAAGGCTTTGGAGGTTGGGCAAGCAGGAAAATAACAAATGTATATCTACCTTGAAGTCATTTTATAATAATTTATAAACCGAAATCTGAGAAAATGAGAGAATATAATCTGGGTAATGTAATTACTGCAGCAACTGAGCTGTTCTGTCAAAAGCTAACGAGGTCCTGTTATACTTGTTTCTCAGCCTTTTAAATGTCAGCTATTAGGCTGGGGGTGCGGCTCAGTGGTGGAGTGCAGGTACAGAATGACCAAGGGAACACAGACACACAAATTCAGCTCAGAAGAGAACTTCTTTACAGTCCCTGTACTTTCGTCCCACACCTTTCCTTTTCTTTCTTATTGGAATCATTTGTAGCTACAGAATTAAGCAAAGGGAAGGATGAGAGAAAAAGTTCACTTATGTCAGATGTGTCCTTAGCATCCCAGCAGGCGTGGTACCATGTGTAAACCCAATTTATTTCCTGATAAATTTTCTTTAAACTGGCCTACTTCTTTGAAAGCCTCAGTCTCAGGACCATGTGTATCTTTTCATTTGACTTTGTGGATTGTACCTCTCTAATTTCTACAATAGTAATAAATGAAAGATACTACTTACTGGGTGCCTAGTATTTTGTAGATTTTTAACAACTACTCTTCATGATAGGAATCATTTGTGTTTCATAGATCAAGAAATTGAGGGTGAGAGATTAAGTAATTTGCCCATGATTACATGGGTCATAGGTGACAGGGACCATATTGTCTCTTGTATGATTACCTTTCCCAAGATTCTATAACTGTTTTTTAAAACTACTGAGTTCACAGTGTACAACTTGAGAACTATTTCTTCTGTCTTATCAGGTATTAAACTGTCAGAAAAAAACAAGGCATTATTGGCTGCTGGGTCTTTAACAGAATTAAAACATTCATCTGATAATGGACTAGTTTGGTAACCTCATTACTAATGTATAATAATTTTTATAACATGTCTTCTATTGAGGGCATATTAAAATCCAGGCACTCTACTAGATGACCCTAAAAGATAAGGGAGGTTCAGAAATTGAGAAGTTCAGAAACTGAATCCTTGCTAGGCAGTCGCAGAACTGGGACAGGCATGTTGGTGGATTCAGAGCCTCTATTTCTATTTATATGTCAATCACCTCTGAGTCTGTTTTCTAACTTGTATTGCAAACTCCACTTCATACGTCGTTGGTTTCATTCCTTGCTTCCAACTGCTTCCATCCTTTTCAGGATCTATCTCTATCGCTCCCAATTAGGGATTGAACCCAGAACCATTACACTATGCCAAATCCTCAGCCCCAAGTTTTGTTTTTTCCCTCGAAACAGGGTCTCGCTGAGTAGTGAGGTTGCCCAGGCTCGGCTCAAACCCATAATCCTCCTACCTCAGCCTTCCAGAGTGCTGGTGTCACAGGCCACCTCACCTGGCCCATTGAATCTTTACAGAGAGAGATTTCTAACTGGGCAGGTGGTTTATGCCTGTAATCCAGCACTTAGCAGGCTGAGAAAAGAGAGAGGCAAGCTTGAGGGCAGCTTGAGCTCTGCAGCCAGCTGGAGTTACATAGTGAGGGTGAGGGTGGGGTGAATTCTTTCCAGGCCGATAGAAACTTATGCCAGACTGGAAGCACTTCAAGAAAAAGATACGGTAACAACCATTTCATTATAACTGGGTTGAATAATACACTTTCCTTTGTCCAGGGTCAGATAAGCCTGGGAAGTAAACAGCCACGGGATCAAGGAGAGTATGTGTGTTTTGTTAAGGAATTTAAGTTTTCTCCGTAGGCAATAGGGAGTCATTGAAGAACACGGCCAGCATAACACTGAACTTCAGAAACATCATCTGTCTAGAGAGTGGAAACTGGATCCCTTCCCAGCATTAGCGAGGTTGAAGCAGGAGGATCTCTGCAAGTTTGAGGACAGAGTGGGCTACATAGTGAGTTCAGGCAGCCTGAACTACGTAGTGAGACCTTGTCGCAAAACAAAAAGTGGATCCCAGAAAGCTATAAGCCTGAAGCTAAGGTAGGAAGCTGTGGTGTTCAGCCAAGGGAGAGACAATAAGGCTTTCAACTAAGGCTTTAAATGAAAGCTTCCCTGTTCAAAATACTTGGAACCACAACAAATGTTTTAAATTTCTGATTTTTTAAAAATTTTGGAATATTTGCATATATATATTATATAATGAGATAACTTGGGGTAAGCCTCCAAATCTAAATATGAACCTCATTTATTTTTCACATCTACTTTATACACATGGGCTGGAGGTTATTTTTACAGTATCTTTAGTGAAACTACCTTTTGACTGTGGCTTACTTTCACATGAGGTCAAATGCGGAATTTTCCATGATGGTATGTTAAAGGGGTTAGCTACAGCTGTAAGGAAGATTCAGGTTTTTTAAAAACTTCCTGATAAGTAGTGTCCTTCAACTATTGTGTTTTATTCTGGCCCCATGCCACCAAGTTAAGATATCTGACCAATACCCTTCCAGTATTGTTTGAAGGATTGTAATATTTGCTTTTTATTCTTTGAAGATATCAAAAGACATGTTCATTAATAAATTGAATTAAGAACCTTCATTAATAAATTGAAGGTCTTAACAAAACAAAACTCTCCCCCATGAAGATATCTTTGAAGAAGACATGTTATAAAACTTATTATTCTTTTTTATTCTTAAATACGAGTCTGCTGCAAACTGCATGAGATGAAAGTATCCCTCCTCCCCTTCCTCCTCCCCCTCCCCCTCCTCCTCCCTCCCCTTCCTCCTCCCCTTCCCCCTCCTCCTCCTCCTCCTCCTCCTCCAACTTGCATGCAGTGCCCTGGAGTACAATCTCAACCATTTGTTGCTACAGATTTCATGATCTGTAGTAGGTCAACTAAGTTAATAGTAAATAAGTTAATAGTAAATAATCTTTTCATCTCAGAAATTTCACTTTTATTAATGTATCCTGTAAAAACCATACACAAGAATATAAAAGTACACGCATAAAAATGTTTGCTAAATTGAATGTGATAGTACATGCCTGTAATCCCAGCACTCAGGAGTTTGAGGCCAGGCTGGACTACAAAGTAAATTCAAG